TCTGTCTCCCCCTCTCTGTCTCTCTGTCTCTCTCTCTCTCTCTCTCTCTCTCTCTCTCTCTCTCTCTCTCTCTCTCTCTCTCTCTCTCTCTCTCTTTCTGTGTCTCAGTCTCTCTCTCCCTCTCCAGTTCCCTCTTCTTCCCACCAGATGAAGTTATTGTTGTTGATATTTTCAAGTTAAAAAGTGATGTCCTAGCTCACTCTGAATGGGAAGTTGAAGTCCTTGTTTCTAATTTGGTTGAAGTTTTGAAAATAAAGCTATAAGGTTACTATAATAATATGGTCAAAGATGTTGTTTAGGTTGTTGTAGATTAAGCTAAGAGAGACGTCGAGGTGCAGTTATAACTTTTGGTGTATTCATTTATTTATTTTGGGATGGAATGTCTTGTATTTCGACATTAGACTGCTTGTAGATGGATAGCTTTAACTGAGAAAGTAATCCTGGATGTGCTCACTGATGTTACTGAATATAAAACAACAATAAAATAAAGGAATTCATCATACGTGCCTCTCTATTTTCTTGTGTGTGATTGTATTCTTTAAATATGAGAAATCAAGACTAATTCCTTATTTTTTTGGAATTGTTGGAGTCAGTGATCTCATACTGTAATTTTAAGTATTGATTCTCAACATGATTAATTGCGTTTTCTGACATTTGTGTTACTGTACACTCAATATCAACGTGTGTTGCGGTGTATAAGTCTGTTTGGGGTTTTTTTTCCTCTTAAATCTGGACTGAGTGCTTTTAAATCTGTAGCAAAGTTTGTGTGTGGCTCTCTTTGTTGATTTGTCCATTTGCTTTTTTGTCTTATGTCTCAAGTCAGTGTTCTGTGTTGTGCATTTGGAACTATATGTATGCCCGTGTTTGTATTATGTGGAGTACGCTATCGTATTGTTCAATCAATCTCAGGGGTTTTTCATCGTAATGCCATGACAATGTGGTCGTCCTACCCGAGTGACATAGAGAGCTGCTGGGCCTACACACAAGGCCTGCCATTCTGTGTGCAACCTCTTCCTCAGACCCTAACATGTGTACTGGTAATAATACAAGTCAATGCTCATCAGAGCTTACCCATAGTTGATTTTTTTTTCTTTTTACTATTCAAAATGATAAGGCCATTAGGTTAACAGTTGCAATAGAATTCTATGACCAAGTATAATTTTTACCATCATAATATTAATAAATATTTCCAAATGCTGTAAAATTGCATCTGAAAGTGTAATTATTTTTTTTCATGACTTATTAAACAAAATCTAATTTTCCTTGTAATAACATCAAGTTTCTCTAACGAATGTTTTAATAGGTGTGCTAATGTGTCATCAACCACATTTAAAAGTACATATGCCTAAATGGAAATCTGTGAATGTTCCTTTTTCATGATACACAAAAATATGGCCCTGGTATAGGTCCAGGGGCTCTCTACATAATCTTTTTTTTTATTATGCATGGCCTTCAAAGGCACTGGTCAACTGGTAGTTTACTGTGACCTGCTGCTTGGTTTGAGATGCTTCTTAGTGCTCCTAGTTTTGTCGTGATTAGTCAGAATTCTTTTTACTCTTTATTTGAGATATCTCCTTTTTTTAAAGTAGGAGAGAGAGAAAAAAATTGACTCTGCATCCATGAATGTTCAGTCACTGTTAATACGCTAAATTTGTAAAGTGTTGGCTTCATTTCAAAATCTTTAGTTCGGTTTTGTTCACCGTACATTTGCCCACAAAGACTTGAAATACTTTGTCTGGAGTATGACTATGTGTAAAGAGTCAGAAAGTGAAATTTGTCAGAAAGAAGCAGTTTCTGAAATGTCTCAACTGTTATCAGCAGTTTTTTTTAATTTTCTCATGAGACTCCGTAGGAACATGTAAATCTGACATGTTGGTGTAAATTTCCCTGACTGTTCTGTATAAATAGATGAGAGGAGCATTGATTGCGTCGCACAACCATTGCAGTTGGTCCCAGTTTAAACCCCAGGTACCAGGACAAGGATGAGTATCCCGGTTGTAATGTACAGTCCTGCGTGATGGGAGGCAAGCCATTCACATAAACACGCTACACCACTTTCTTCTATGTTATGCCTTGGCGGATACTTGCAGTAAGAGAGGGCGGCCCTCTTTTCATTATTTCAAAACATAGATATTGATGGGTTGACTGTTATACTAGATACTTGTAATGGCAGGTTAGTTTGAAGGCACAACTTTTGGGGGTTTGGGTTTTTGGGGTTTGTTTTGTTGTTTTGTTTTTCTTTTTTTAGGGGGGTGGGGCGGGGGGGGGTTGTTTTGTCTTTTGTTAGTCTTTGGGGAGATTTTTGTTTTTTGGTAGTAGGGGTTGGGGGGGGGGGGGCTGACTGAAATATGGCAAGAATGTGTAAGTTATACAGATAAAAGATGCCGCCTCCTTGACAAAGAGCGCCCCCCACCTACTG